GACAAGTTGTCATAACGAAGACATTTTTGGCGAGGTTTCTTTTACATTATTCAATGTAAAAGAAAAAAAATCTTGACGACTCTACTGAAAAGTGAAATTCAGAAAAGTTCTGTAATCACAATGTGAAGTTTCTGTTACTGTGCAGCACACAGGACTAATGTTCCAGTGTGAATGTCAGGAGTTTAGTTCTGTTAAATAGTTCTATATTATATTTTATGTCTTTATTTTAAATGTCTTAAAATAATATACATGTTTACATGTTTTTATATGTGCAGTGTTCTATGTACTTGTTCTCGATTAGTTTGCAAATGAAGGGTTCAGGCAGAAATGTTGGCAGAAATAATAAAACTAAAAGTGCAAGTTGAGCTAATTTCCACGTAAACTGACTTCTTGCTGGTTCCTCTTGTTACTTTCCTGTGTTTTCGCTTTTATTTCTGCTCTGGATCCCTGTGGTCCTTGTGAATGTTATACATTTTGCCTTTCATTATTTATTTTTAAACTGCTCCCTGTCTCTGACTCGCTGCAGTTGGGTCCTCCATTACCACTACATATCACCACATAGTCACATAGTCTTTGTAGATCAGTCCAAAACAGCCAGATATGCATTTCAATTAAACTCTAATTTATAAAATATATTTTTTTAAAACATATTGAATCAGAATAATGTAATTTAGCTTCTTTGAACAACATTCTTTAAGATGACCCATTATTTATTAATTCAATCTGCTGAAAATTGTATAAAACGTGTTCTCTAAATTATCTTATATTTCTAATGTAACATTATTTTTGTAATTAGGGGTTCTTCAACTTCGATCAAGAGTGCTATAGGAAATACGGGAAAATATGGGGGTGAGTTTTCACGTTGTAACTGTTATTGAAGAACAGACACAATAAACCATTGATTTGTTACAGCTTAAGTTGTTTGTTTCATTCTAATCTTTCAGTATTTACGATGGCCGCCAGCCCGTGTTGTGTGTTGCAGATCCTGAAATCATAAAGGCCATTCTGGTTAAGGAATGCTACTCTTTCTTCACCAACCGCAGAGTATGTAGTTACTGCTCTACAGTCCATATGAAGTCATAGTGATATACATTTCATTTAGTTCTCATGAGCTGCTGTTTAATTATGTCAAAAGAATTTCCATCTGAATGGGGCCCTGTATGATTCCCTGTTCAATGCTGAAGATGATCAATGGAAAAGGATCCGTAGTGTCCTATCTCCTTCCTTCACCTCTGGGAGACTGAAGGAGGTGAGCTTCTCCACCTTCTCTATATCTTTAAACTTTTACAGCAATTTGACTTGAACATACTGCTTCCTCCAAATATATTGGGACTGCTGGTAAAAATAGCTTTGAAATAAATTCACCTTTTGTTCACATCCTAAAGACACAAAAAAAGTTGAGTGTGTTTATTCTGTGGAGAAAGAAACATCCCATTAGTACCACAACGATGATAAATTCTATAGACTAAATTTAACGGAGAATATTGTTTTGATCTTAGATTTATTTAGTAAGCAGAATGTCTAAACCTTTTGAATTAGTAATTATTCTTTTCTTTTGGTTTTATAAATGCATGACACCCTAAAAGAAAGCCAGTTGTTTATCTACATATGTCAGGAAATGACAATGAAAAAAAGATCAAAAATCATCTTTTTTTTCAAAGCAATCTCATTTCCTAGACAGGAAAACTAGTAGAACAACTAGAGAAAGGGATTCTGGGTGTTTTGCTCAGATTTCAGTTTATCTGTGCTGAGCCACAGCAAATAATGTCTCTAGGCAGCTTCAAAACCAGATCCTTTTAAAATACAAATATATTTACAGTCAATGTAATCCAAACAGATTGAAATTCAATCACATACATGCAGTTCGATCCTGGTTATAAAACTATGTAATCAAGTTTTATTTATTATGCCAAATGGCTGAAAGTTTTCAAAGGAAGCCCAACAGACTCTGACTTTGCAGCAAATTGCATCTTGATATAACTTTGGAGCAAGCATATATGCTCAAGTTATCTAGATTTAGTCAACTATATTTTGAACTTTATTTTCAAACCAAAACATTTTCTATTTTTATTTGCGTGTGTGGTAATGTTTTTTTGTCTCTATATGTGCATTAGATGTTTGAAATCATGAAGAGTCATTCTGCTAACCTGATTCACAGCATGAAGAAAAAGGCAGACAAAGGAGGAGCATTAGAACTGAAGGAGTAGGACTTTTTATAAAATTGTTAAAGAAGATGCTTAAATTCACCTCTACCAATGCCAATGCATTTGAAACATATTTGTGTTGCTTATAGATTCTTTGGATCGTACAGCATGGATGTCGTAACCAGCACGGCCTTCAGCGTAGACATTGATTCACTGAACAACCCTTCAGACCCATTTGTGACAAACATCAAGAAGATGCTGAAGTTTGACTTTTTAAACCCCCTCTTCCTTGCTGTTGGTAAAATATAAAGAAAGAACAAACACAAGGTTAATGACAGGTGTTCCAATAACAGTCCAACTCATTCCTCAATCCTTAGAAGACATGGAAACTGGATGTTTTTCACCAGCTTATAAGCTCATGGCTTAGTTATTCATAATAATAAAGAATTCTGACTTCTTTATATATATATATATATATATATATATATATATATATATATATATATAAAGAGAGAGAGAGAGAGAGAGAGAGAGAGAGAGAGAGAGAGACAGAGAGAGAGAGAATGGGCCCATCTATGAAGAATAAAAAGGGCATATTTTATTCATTCAGATTTATGTTTAATAAAGAATACAAGTTTGTTAAATTTCAGTCTGGTAATGTTGTAACAGACAAAGTACTTCCTGACCTTCCTTGTCCAGTAGTAATATAATTGTTGTTACTTTAATTTCAGCTTTCTTCCCCTTCCTCGGCCCCATACTTGAAAAGTTTGAATTTTCTTTTTTCCCCAAATCTGTCACCGACTTCTTTTATGCTTCTCTGGAGAAGATTAAGTCCAACCGTGAGACCAGCCAGCAGAAGGTACAGTCAGATACGATGGTTTTTTCAGCATTTCAGTATCTTTGTATCAGCAGGCTTAGAAATGGGATCTGTTCTGCTCTCATTTACTTGCAGAGTCGAGTAGATTTTCTCCAACTAATGATTGATTCCCAAAAGAACAATGGGTTGCAAAAGGACAAAAGTGAGACGTACTTCAAACACTCACAATACAGCTACACAACTACACATCTTACTATTGTGAACCATGTTGTATTTTCTGCAGGATTAAGTGACCATGAGATCCTTTCCCAATCCATGATTTTCATTTTTGCTGGTTATGAAACAAGCAGCAGTTCTCTCACTTTCTTGGCTTACAATTTGGCTACGAACCCAGAGATCATGAGAAAGCTCCAGGAGGAGATTGATTCCACCTTCCCCAACAAGGTACAGTATGCCAAAATATAGAATATGTAAAGCATTTAGGTCTTTAAACATCAGGTATTTAATTTGTATAATGTTTTTTTTTTCATATTTGGTGAAACTGTCTTTATGTCGTGACAGTATGGGATGAGACAGGTAATCTGTGTAAAACATTCTCTCCTTTGCATTCTCCCCATTCTCACAGTTCCAACAACAAACAACCAATTAGTGCCAGGAGGCGGGTCTAAGAGCTGTTAAGCACCCTCTGTGTGGCACTGCTCAAACCCCGCCAAACCTCCAACTCCCCTCCTTGCTCTCTATTATACTGCAGCTAGCATAGCATGTTGTGAATGATTGGGCTAGTTAGCATGGCTACCGATCGCAGTGGATAAATGGTATTCCTCGAACGATTAAATGTTCCAGGAACGAAGCAAGAATGATTGCTGAATGATTGTCAGCAATCATTCTTGCTGACATTAGCCAGCAAGAATGACTGACAACGCAAAGGCACTCCTTGCTCTGATTGGTTGCTTTTGGTCAGGAGCGGTGCATTTCTTCAGATGGCAGTAGCAGCTCTGAGAGGAGGTGGAAGAGATTGATCTTTTCACAGATTATCTTTAGAGACACTTTTTAGGTCAGAGGCCTTGTCAGGGTCAAATCTAATTGGCGCCTCTAAAGCACCAATACTTTAAAGCCTCTAAAGTAGTATTCGTACTAATGTAGTTTGAGGGTAAACTATTTACAGGTAGTTTACCCACAGGTGTGAATAAACTCTCTTGAGAGTTCATCCATAAGAGGCCTGGGAGAAGGAATTTCTTTGGCTAAACAATAGTCTGAATGAAAAAGAAAAGAAAAAGAACTACTACTATTGTCATTGTCTTTTTGGAAATCCACCTGTTGCTGAAAATGTTATTATTCTATCTGAGCCACCTGATGAGCCACCCAACAAAAAAAAAAAATGCTGATTTAAAACCAAAAGTTGCCCATTTTTAAATAGATTTGTTTATTATACCAGTTTGGTATGATTTAACATTGGAATGATATCCTAACCTATTCAGTCTGGCCTGTAGAACAGCAGCATGACCTGGTAAACAACCGTGCTTGTGTTTGTGTAGGCTCCTGTTCAGTATCAGCCTCTGATGGAGATGGACTACTTGGACAGCGTCATCAATGAGTCTCTCCGGTTGTTCCCCATTGCTGCACGTTTGGAGCGTGTGGCCAAAGCATCTGTAGAGATAAATGGCCTTGTGATTCCAAAAGACATGGTTGTCCTGGTCCCCACATGGCCTTTGCACCGGGACCCTGAGATATGGCCAGAACCAGAGAAATTCAAACCCGAGAGGTACAGAAGGAATGAACAACTACCACTAAATAAGGGAAAAAAATGCACATTGCTGCGTATCATTTGCAGAAGTCTGCTGTTAGTATGAATACATTTGATTATATATTTATGTGTATATTGTATTTTTCGCAACAGATTCAGCAAGAAAAACAAGGAGGATATCGATCCATACACATACATGCCTTTTGGGGTAGGGCCAAGGAACTGCATTGGGATGAGATTTGCTCTGGTGGTGATGAAACTGGCAGTGGTGGAGATCCTGCAGCGGTACAGCTTCTCTGTGTGTAAAGAGACCGAGGTGAGATTTCAGATTAACTCTGCATATTGCTCCTCTTTCAGGCTGTGTGAGGAAGCTTATGACACTTATTTTTGTCCATCCAAAGTCTGAAGACTCTGCTTAACACTGAGCTTTGCACAGTAATTCATGCTGATCCTCATTTCATTGTCTCTTGTTCATAGACAGAAGAAAAGCTGCACTTGTCTAGAGAAACCTTGGTTTCTCTAGACAGCTTTTCTTCTGTTTTCTTTTTTTACGATGCTTGAATTAAATGGCCACACTGTTCTTTGCATTGTTTATTCAGTTCACACAGTTTTTTCTCTGCACATTGAATTTCCTACCAGATCCCATTTGAGATGGATGTCCAGGGTTTGTTAGCTGCCAAAAGACCCATCCAACTGAAGCTGATCCCTCGTTCCTAATAGTCCAGCTGAAGAATTATATCTAAATCAAATTGTGATGTTAATTTTGGGAAGTTTATGTTACTTTCCTATAAATTAAGTTTTTGTATTAATAATACATCAAACTTACATAGCACGTTTTAGAGTATGTAAACAAGACTAGATGTCTTTAACATCTGTCCTTGTTTCTCTATGGGTGTCAAACTCCAGTCCTCAAGGGCCGCTGTCCTGCAACTTTTAGATGTGCCTCTGCTGCACCACACCTGAAAAAAATAATTAGGTCATTAGCAAGGCTCAGGAGAACCAATCTACACAGGGAGGAGGTAATTAAGCCATTTCATTCCACTGTTTTTTACCTGTGGCACATCTAAACACTGCAGGACAGCGGCCCTTGAGGACTGGAGTTTGACACCCCTGCATATGCTATGATGTATATTGTTGAGAGGACCCAAAAGCGCCAGGCGTGGGACATTGAGTTGATAACAAGACAAACCTGCAAGTAGTGGCTGACAATGAAGTGCTTAAATACTCAGAGGATGAATACTGGAACAAAGGAACTGGGCTGATTGCTAACTAGTTGCAGGTGTGAGTGACGGGAGCAGGAGGCAGTCTGAGGAGAGGGAGAGAGACATGGCACAGGGGGCGAGGGAGAATACACAGGGGACTAGAGAATTAAATAAAGACCCATAAATAAATTTATTGTACTACCTATGAAAAACTAGTTCAGTTTTATTATGTACTTATAACATTTTTTCTCTTGCTGTGTAGCTGTAAAACTCTTTCAATAAATTTAAAATTTCTTTTATGCATACGATGCCACCTTTCTAGAACTGTCAACAACAAATAATTGGAAAATTCCCTTTTAGGTTTTACCATACTGAAGGGCAGTCACAAGATCACTCCTGGTGCATTCCATCCTTGGCAGTTTAACACACTACTGTATGCTCTAAAGAAGCAATCTGTCAAAATCTCAGCTTGCTATGGTGCTTACACCTGCTTATTATTAACAGATCAAATGAATTTACTTAGCAGCACAAGGGTTGCTACCTTTCCTCTAAGTGTTCTTTGGAAAAATAAAAACCATACTTAATTTATGAAATACCGCATTTTCATGTTGATTTCATTTTTGTTGTGTGAATTAGAGTCCATGTGTTGCTGTGCATGAAATTGGACATAATTCTTTTAGAACCTGATAAAGACCACATCAGGCTCCCAATGCCCTTGTACTTAAATCCCTTTTCCACATTTTGCCATTTCATAGCCTTTTAGTATTTTATTAATACAGCCACACACAAACCTCATTATGACAATGTGGAAAGCATTTTAGATAACCAAGAAACCACATTTACATTAGTATTCACAGCTTTTGCCAGTGAAGATCAAAACTGAGCTTTTTCTGCTGGTCATCTAATAGAGCCCCCTTGTGGAAAATTGGACTTGATTTGGAAAGGCACACACCTTTCTAGAAAATGTTCCACATTTTATAAAAAATGTCAGAGGTCAAACAACAAGCATGAAATTGAAGGAATTTTCAGTAGACCCCTGAGACAGGATTGTTTTGAAGCACAAGTGTGAGGAAGGATCCAGAAAAAGTTTTGAGGCTTTGACTTGAACTCAATGGTCTCATTCATAAATGAAAGAAATTTAGAACCACCAGGACTCTAGAGCTGGCTGGCCATCTAAACTGAGTGATTGGGTCAGAAGGTCCTAAGACAGGGGGGTGACTAAGAACCCAATGGTCACTCCAACATTCCTCTGTGGAGAGAGGAGAGCAGATCAGATGGACAACCATCTCTGCAGCAATCCACCAGTCAGGCCAGCATGATAGAGCGGCCAGATGAGGGTTAAGAGGATCCTCCTCATCAGGGCCGTGCAGAGACCACTNAGAGAGAGAGAGAATGGGCCCATCTATGAAGAATAAAAAGGGCATATTTTATTCATTCAGATTTATGTTTAATAAAGAATACAAGTTTGTTAAATTTCAGTCTGGTAATGTTGTAACAGACAAAGTACTTCCTGACCTTCCTTGTCCAGTAGTAATATAATTGTTGTTACTTTAATTTCAGCTTTCTTCCCCTTCCTCGGCCCCATACTTGAAAAGTTTGAATTTTCTTTTTTCCCCAAATCTGTCACCGACTTCTTTTATGCTTCTCTGGAGAAGATTAAGTCCAACCGTGAGACCAGCCAGCAGAAGGTACAGTCAGATACGATGGTTTTTTCAGCATTTCAGTATCTTTGTATCAGCAGGCTTAGAAATGGGATCTGTTCTGCTCTCATTTACTTGCAGAGTCGAGTAGATTTTCTCCAACTAATGATTGATTCCCAAAAGAACAATGGGTTGCAAAAGGACAAAAGTGAGACGTACTTCAAACACTCACAATACAGCTACACAACTACACATCTTACTATTGTGAACCATGTTGTATTTTCTGCAGGATTAAGTGACCATGAGATCCTTTCCCAATCCATGATTTTCATTTTTGCTGGTTATGAAACAAGCAGCAGTTCTCTCACTTTCTTGGCTTACAATTTGGCTACGAACCCAGAGATCATGAGAAAGCTCCAGGAGGAGATTGATTCCACCTTCCCCAACAAGGTACAGTATGCCAAAATATAGAATATGTAAAGCATTTAGGTCTTTAAACATCAGGTATTTAATTTGTATAATGTTTTTTTTTTCATATTTGGTGAAACTGTCTTTATGTCGTGACAGTATGGGATGAGACAGGTAATCTGTGTAAAACATTCTCTCCTTTGCATTCTCCCCATTCTCACAGTTCCAACAACAAACAACCAATTAGTGCCAGGAGGCGGGTCTAAGAGCTGTTAAGCACCCTCTGTGTGGCGCTGCTCAAACCCCGCCAAACCTCCAACTCCCCTCCTTGCTCTCTATTATACTGCAGCTAGCATAGCATGTTGTGAATGATTGGGCTAGTTAGCATGGCTACCGATCGCAGTGGATAAATGGTATTCCTCGAACGATTAAATGTTCCAGGAACGAAGCAAGAATGATTGCTGAATGATTGTCAGCAATCATTCTTGCTGACATTAGCCAGCAAGAATGACTGACAACGCAAAGGCACTCCTTGCTCTGATTGGTTGCTTTTGGTCAGGAGCGGTGCATTTCTTCAGATGGCACCACCTCCTCTGAGAGGAGGTGGAAGAGATTGATCTTTTCACAGATTATCTTTAGAGACACTTTTTAGGTCAGAGGCCTTGTCAGGGTCAAATCTAATTGGCGCCTCTAAAGCACCAATACTTTAAAGCCTCTAAAGTAGTATTCGTACTAATGTAGTTTGAGGGTAAACTATTTACAGGTAGTTTACCCACAGGTGTGAATAAACTCTCTTGAGAGTTCATCCATAAGAGGCCTGGGAGAAGGAATTTCTTTGGCTAAACAATAGTCTGAATGAAAAAGAAAAGAAAAAGAACTACTACTATTGTCATTGTCTTTTTGGAAATCCACCTGTTGCTGAAAATGTTATTATTCTATCTGAGCCACCTGATGAGCCACCCAACAAAAAAAAAAATGCTGATTTAAAACCAAAAGTTGCCCATTTTTAAATAGATTTGTTTAGTATACCAGTTTGGTATGATTTAACATTGGAATGATATCCTAACCTATTCAGTCTGGCCTGTAGAACAGCAGCATGACCTGGTAAACAACCGTGCTTGTGTTTGTGTAGGCTCCTGTTCAGTATCAGCCTCTGATGGAGATGGACTACTTGGACAGCGTCATCAATGAGTCTCTCCGGTTGTTCCCCATTGCTGCACGTTTGGAGCGTGTGGCCAAAGCATCTGTAGAGATAAATGGCCTTGTGATTCCAAAAGACATGGTTGTCCTGGTCCCCACATGGCCTTTGCACCGGGACCCTGAGATATGGCCAGAACCAGAGAAATTCAAACCCGAGAGGTACAGAAGGAATGAACAACTACCACTAAATAAGGGAAAAAAATGCACATTGCTGCGTATCATTTGCAGAAGTCTGCTGTTAGTATGAATACATTTGATTATATATTTATGTGTATATTGTATTTTTCGCAACAGATTCAGCAAGAAAAACAAGGAGGATATCGATCCATACACATACATGCCTTTTGGGGTAGGGCCAAGGAACTGCATTGGGATGAGATTTGCTCTGGTGGTGATGAAACTGGCAGTGGTGGAGATCCTGCAGCGGTACAGCTTCTCTGTGTGTAAAGAGACCGAGGTGAGATTTCAGATTAACTCTGCATATTGCTCCTCTTTCAGGCTGTGTGAGGAAGCTTATGGGTAGGTTTTTAGTTTTAAATATGACATTTATTTTTGTCCATCCAAAGTTTGAAGACTCTGCTTAACACTGAGCTTTGCACAGTAATTCTGATCCTCATTTCATTGTCTCTTGTTCTTTGACCATAAGCTTTCTCTAAACAAGTGTAGCTTTTTTCTTTTCTTTTTTTTCTTTTTTACAATGTTTGAATGAATAGGCCACGCTGTTCTTTGCATTGTTTATTCAGTTCACACAGTTTTCTTTCTGCACATTGAATTTCCTACCAGATCCCATTTGAGATGGATGTCCAGGGTTTGCTAGCACCCAAAAGACCCATCCAACTGAAGCTGATCCCTCGCTCCTAATCTTCCAGCTGAAGAAATACTTTTAAATCAAATTGTGATGTTTATTTTGTGAATTTTATATTCCTTTCTCACAAATGAATTTTTTGTATAATGATACATCTTGTATAGCCCTTATAATACAACTTGTATTATACTTAGATTAAATGAAGATTAAATGAATGAGCTTTAGTGCCTGTCCCTGTTTTTCTATAGGTAATGATGTATATTGTTGAGTTGAGTCAAATGTTCCAGGCATGGAACATTGAGTTGATTTTTAGTGATTTTTCTATCTAAATCAAATTGTAACCTTTATTTGACGAGGTTTACATTCCTTTCCTATAACTGTGAAGCCTATAGTGTTGTAAGTCCCTTTTTCTTCATACTGAACTGAGAGATAAAATATTTTTAAACTGTGTTGCCAATAAACAGTGTACAGGTGTACACTGATCACAGTAAAATATCACTCTGAAATATGCTGCTTTATCACAGCACAATGCCACAGATGTTGCAATTGGCAAACTGACTGCAGGGATGTCACCCAGAGCTGTTTTTTGTGAAATTAATATTCATTCCTCTACCACAAGTGCACACAGTCCTCTCCAAAGGCATTTCAGAGAATTTGGTAGTACATCCAACTGGCCAGACAATTGCAGACCACGTGTATCCACACCAGCCCAGGACCTCCACATCCAACATGTTCACCTCCAACATCGTCTGACTTCAGCCACCTGGACAGGTGTACAAACTGTCAGGAACTGTCGGCTTTCAACTTGACTGTAGTTTGTTTACGTAACCGACTTGAATGCTCATATTTGATAGCGTCAGGCACATTAGAGAGGTGTGCTCTTCATGGATGAATCCCATCCATGCCATCATGTGAGACAGCATGTGAGGAGTTGTGTTGGTCAATGGTTTGCTGATGTCAACATTGTGAACATCAGCAAACCGTTGCTGCACAATCATGTTGGAAGAGGAAGAGGCCATTTCCAAACTGTTCCCACAAAGCTGGAAGAATGGAATTGTCTAAAATGTCTTGGTATGCTGAACCATTCAGAGTTCCTTTCACTGGAACTAAGGGGCCAAGCCCAGCTACTGAAATTTAATGGAATTCACTGAGCTCCTGAGAACGACCCATTCTTTCACAAATGTAAAAACAGTCTGCATGCCTAGGTACTTAATTTTATACACCTGTGGCCCTGGAAGTGATTTGAACACCTGAATCCTATGATTTGGATGGGTGAGCAAATACTTTTGGCAATACACAGTTTGGTTTAGAAGTATGTCATTTATCTCTCAGTTCAGGATTTCTGCTTAAATATGCCTACCCACAAGTCTTGTGAGTGACTTTATTATCTTGAAATTGTCATTGTTCAATAAAGACTGTTTGGAATATGTTTTCATATCTGTGTTTTCTTGTATAGATGTGAAGTTCCATCAGGTTAGATTTATGACATCCCCAACTTCTCAAACAGTAGTGTGGCCATACTTGATGCAGTACAGAAAGTGTAACTTATTTTCATGGCAATAACAACATTTTGATGCATTTATTTTGAAGAGTATTCCTATACAGAGTGAGCACAACTTATTTGATCACAAAAAATACTTACAAAACAAAGATGGAGATAAATGAGATCAGAAGAAACCATGTTTCAGAGGAGACAAAAGAAAAAAAGTCCATGACTGATGTAGCATATCCAAAGTCTGTTGAACTCAGG